TATCAAGAACTATGTAATGTTTTGAACAACCAACAATAAAAAATTAAAAAAAAAAAGAAGCCATTTTAGTACTGAGTAAGTATTGAACTGTTATCACATCATAGGCAAGCTGTCAAAGATATTGCAAAGTCAAAAATAACTCACTCTTTAAGACAGCAAGACAGATTACAATCTATTACATGCATGTTAATTATCCGTATCTAATGGAAAAATAAAAATTCTCATATCTTGATCACAAATAGGAAGTTACTACTTGGAGCCAGGCCCCCAGGTTAACCTCCCACAGAGAAAGGAGATAGGGCACCACTGGTCTCAATACTCAGACATTTCAAAAAAGATGGCTCCAAGGCCTCCAAAAGAACTCTCCTGGGGTATAAAACTGGCAAGAGGGTTATTTACCTTTTTAAAAGATTTACATATATCTTCAAAACAGAGGATTTGCAATCGTGTTTTCTAAAGGAAATACCTTAGGAAAGATGATGGGGGAAGGTTCTCTTTCCCTATAGGCATCATAGAAAAAAAAGTAAGATTTGTTTTTTGTTTTTTTAGATTTGTATATATTCTTCAAAACAACATGACTTACAGAAGTACCACTGACTATGAAAAGGGTTTGGGGTTTACTTCAAGGTTCTTATATATGGGAACTTCTAGATCTTTATAAAATGAAATTCAAGCTAGAATCTACTTGTGACTAGACTTCTCAAAAGAAATTATTAAATACTTCTTGCCTGAATGATTCCTGTTCCTTTCCAGTTTTTTTTTATTAGTTGCTCAAAACATTACAATGATCTTGACATATCATATATTATACATTTGATTCAAATAGAGTATGAATTCTTATTTTTCCCACATGTACAGATTGCATGATCACATTGGTTATACAGCCACATTTATACATACTGCCATGCTAGTGTCTGTTGTATTCTGCTTCCTTTCCAGTTTTATAGACATATCTGCTCTTTCTCTCCTGATCTCACTTCCTAATCCTAAGAACCACCAAAGTGCTAATACAATTCAGAAAGGCAATGATGTATTTTTTTATAGTTCCCTACATCTAAACAAATAGTAAAAGGAATATTTCTTTTTTTTCCTACTGATATGAGAAACAGTGCCTCAAATTAACATGCATGCTAAACATTGATGTTTGATGATGAACCTTATTTTTCTCAAAATAAATTAAGAAGTTTTATCAGAATCCATTCTAGAACCATACCTTTGGATTTGCCTGACTCACAGTTATACAAAAAATAAAAGTAAGCAATGAAGACCAAGGTGATTTTCATACATAGTAAATGGTTTTGCTTAGAAGCACTTTAGCATTTGGGAAAAAGGAGTTCTGTTTAGCAATAGAATATAGTAGGTGAATCTTGATGATGTCACTGCTATTGTTTTCAACTCTATCATAATTTACAAAATGTATTGACCTAATAAAAATATATTTGGAAACTATTGATATTGAGCCATACCATAAGGTTTATATAAAAAGCTCTGCATTGGTTTACTCTTAAAGGAAAAATATTTGGAGAAGACTAAGTTGGCTTGCAGGGAGGAGTTGGAACAACGGGCATCATTGGCAGACTGCATAACAATGAATTGATTCCTGCAGAAATAAAATTGTTACTGTTCATTTTTGTCAAAAAAATAAAAATAATTGACAAAATGTATTTGTAAAACATAAAGGAAATAAACAAATTTGCACCAAAGAAATAAGATCTCAGTTATTTTTAGCCATTTAATATAAATGTGAGGTCTTTTGTTTTTGTTTATTGGTATTGGGGATCAAACCTAGGCCTCACACATGTTAAGTAAGTGTTCTTCCACTGAGCTACTAGATTCATAGCCCTGCCAGTTATTTTTAAAATGGTTTTATGGTTTAAAATGGTTCAAATAGAAACAATTTTAAATAAGACAGTATCAGAACAATCAGATATAACTGAAATAAGCATGGATAAGTCATAATTTAAGATTGTTTACCGAGTATTATGGCTTGAATGTGAAGTATCCTCTAAAAGCTCCTATGTTAATGCAGGAATATCTGAGGTGAAATGATCAGAGTATGGGAGCTGTGCCCTGATCAATCCATCCTAGTTTGAATGGACTAGCTGGTTGTTAACTGTGGGTGGGTGGGGTGTGGTTGGAGGAGGTGGGTCACTGGGGGCATGCCCTAGAGAAGGATTCAGCTTCCCTGTGCCACTTGTCTCTGCTTCCTGGTTTCCATAAATGGAGTGACTTTCCCCCACTATGCCCTTCCACCAAGATGATCTTTCTCACCTTGGGCCCAAAGCAATGGAGCCAGGCCACCATGGACTGAATCTCTGAAACTGTGAGCCAAAATAAACTTTTACTCTTCTAAATTGTTCTTGTCAGGTATTTTGGTTGCAGCAATGAAAAGCTGACTACTACAGAAGCATTACTACTGAAGTGATAGGAAAAATCAAGTTGTTTGCCACCTATATACTATTACAGGAAAAGAAACTGCAATATGTAATTGTCCAATAATGAACTTAGCTTTTATAAAATTAATAATTGTGTTAACAAAGCTTTTCTGGGGAAGCAGTTTATATAAATGTGTTAGGTTGTGTAGTTTGATTTGGTTGCTTCTGAAAGCTAGACATACCCAAGCATATTGATATATAGGATCTCTTGTTTTATTTTACATTTGAAAGAGCCACTAGTACAATTTTCAAACAGGGATTGCAGTCACATAACTTCCCTAGCAATTGTGATAATTAGGGCCTAAACATTGTAGAGGAATCTGTGAAGGAAAAAAAAAAATCCTGATTCCTGAGGTCACTTATTGGGATGGAGAGTCCAAGAGATCCACAGGCTCTTCTTCTTTCTTTGGAGCAATGCCAAATGAATCATAGTACAGGTAGGTCAGGTGGTCTTGAAGAACAGTATTGGTGGAGTGATACTGGCTAAAGGGAGTTTCCCTGAGTTGCACAGCAGTCAGATCAAACCAAGGAAAAGGCCTGGGGTGGGAAAAAATAGGTTATTTTTATTTAATGTCAGTATATTTTATTTGGCATTAAGCACATGACTGTGAGGAAAAAAATTCTAGACTTAAGAATTTCTCAACAGAAACTTCCAATCTGAAAAGCAAACAAAACAAAACAAAAACCAGAGACTAAAAAATACAGAATAGAATATCCAAGGACTATGGAATAGCCACAAAAGATGGAACATACACATAATGATAATACTGGAAGGGGAAGAAAGAAAAGAACAGAATATTTGAAACAATAAGGACAGAATTTCCCCAACTAAATGTCAGATACCAAATTAGAGATCCAGGAAGCAATCTGAGAATACCAAGCAGGATAGTACCAATAAAATAAAAAATAAAAATTCAAAACTAAATCTAGACATATTTTCAAACTTAAAAAAAAAACAGAAGATAAATAAAAAAACTTTAAAAAAAAAAACAGAATATAAAGAACAATTCCTAAAAAAGCCACAGGAGAAAATGCCTTACCTAGAGAAAACAAGAAAAAAATTGAACTGACGTTTCCCCAGGAACCATCCACACACGAAGACAAAGAAGTGAAGTAAGTGGCAAGGAAGAGAACAATGAGTAGGTATCACTAGTGTTGACAGAAAAAAACACCAATCTAGAAGTCTGGGTCCTTCCAAAGTTAAAGAAATAAAGACTTCAATAAACAAGAATTGAAGGAATTTGTTGCCAGTAGAGTTGTCTTGCAAGGAATGTTCAAAGAAGGAAAATTATACTTGGATCTATGTAAAGAAAGGAAGAGCATTGAAGAAGGAATAGTGAAGGTAAAATGAAACCCTTCATTTTTCTTATTTTTAGTTGATCTAACAGATAACAATTTGTTCAAAATAATAGCAAGTCGTGTGTGTGTGTGTGTGTGTGTGTGTGTGTGTGTGAAATGAGTGCCAGCAATGATACAAGGAACTGGAGGGAAGAATCAGGATTATTTTATTACAAAGTACTCATACTACCTGTGAAATGGCACAGTATTTAAAATTGTCCTTAGATTAGTTTAAATGTCTAGTGCAAGGTTGTTCATAAGATTAACATACAAGTCAATCACTTTCCTAGACAGCAGAATCTTGATCCATTTTCTGTCATTATAATCACATACTACAGACTCCCTAACTTGATTTATAGATTCAGTACAGTCCCATTCAAAATCCTAGCAAGTTGTTTTATGTGTATTGGCAAATTAATTTTAAGGTTTATATGAAAGGTCAGACTCACAATAGCTAACTCAGTATCAACGGAAAACAACAAGTCAGAGAATCCATACCACCTGACTGAAGACATATTATAAAACAACATAATCAAAATAGTTAAATAGACATGATCAATGAGACAGAATAGAGAACCTAGAAATAGATCCACATAAATATACAATATAGTTAGCTATTCTTTAACAAAAGTCCAAAAGCAATACAATAAAGAAAATATGGTTTTCAATAAATGATGCTAGAACAATGAGACATACAGAAAAAGAAAATCTAGACATAGAACTTATACCTTTTACAAAAATGAATTCAAAATACATGATAGATATGGGACTGGGGCTGTAGCTCAGTGACAGAGTACTTGCCTAGCACATGTGAGACACTGGGTTCGATCCTTAGCACCATATAAAAAAATAAACAAAAATAAAGGCATGATGTCCATCTACAACTACAAAAATGTTTTTTTAAAAAAATACATGATAGATTTAAGTGCAAAATACAGAACTACAAAATTCCTAAAAGAAAACAAGAAAAATTCAAATGGGTTTGGCATGACTTAAATTGTAACATGAAAGGTATGATCCATGAAAGAAAGAATTGATAAACTGGATCTAATTAAAATTTAAAATTTCTGCTCTGAAATATACTGTCAAGAAAACAAACACAAGCCTGGCACTGCAGTGTGCGCCCATAATCCCAGTGGCTCAGGAGACTGAGGCAGGAAAATCACAAGTTCAAAGCCACCCTCAGCAATAAAATAAAAAAATTTTTAAATGTCTTGGGGCTGGGGTTTTGACTTGGTGTTAGCATGCTTGCCTAGCATGCATGAGGCACTGGGTTTAATTCTCAGTACCACATACAAATAAAGATCCATCAAAAAATAAAAATATTAAAAAAATAAAATGTCTCAAAAAAAAAGAGGAGATATACAATTAAAAAGTATAATTCACCAAGGATATATTAAAATTTGTAAACTTATTTATCATATAGCATAACTTCAAATTTTATAAGCAAAGATGATTACAAATGTGAAGTGAATTTAAAAAACTACAATTGCAATGGAAATATTAATATGCCATGCCTCTGTAACAGAACATCTGACAAAGAATATAGCACATTATTTCTCCAGTTTTAAAGTGCATAAGTATCACCTGGGATCTAGTAAAAATGCAGACTGTGAGTCCATAGGCCTGGGGTGCCAGGTTCTGCATTTCCAAATAAACTTCCAGGCAACCAACAGATGCCAGTAGTTTGGGGAGCAAAGAGTAACAGATTTGACTAACACAGGAACTTTGTGCCCAAAACACAGTCATTATTTCAAAGGCAAACAGCACATAGATGAAGAGATTAGATGAAAATTTTCTTAGTTCTTCCTATTTCTATTATAATAATCTGAAATGAAATTAAATGAGCCATACATATTTAAGAAATTAAGAAAGAGAACCACAAAATAAACTAAAAGAAATGAGGAACTAATTATTAAAAGTACTTGAATTAAAAATGAACAGCTTAGTCAGGTGTGGTGGAGCAGACCTGTAATTTCAATTACTGGAGAGGCTAAGGCAGGAGGACCACAAGTTCAAGGACTGAACAACTTACTCAGAGATCTTGTCTCAATGACAACATTAAACATCACTGATTCATTTCCCAGTTAATTAGTCACAGCTAATATTAATAGCAGTTATCGTTGAAAAAATGGGATTTGAGGTATGGGACAATATCACTTTTAGTTTACAGTTTATATGCTTTTTGCCACAAACATATTAGTTTTGTTGTTGTTTTCTAAAGTCCACATAAAAGAAAAAATGTGCAAAACAGTTAAGATTATTTTGAAAAATATTAATGAAGGGAACTTGCTCTACCAGGTAGATAATACATCTACACATGGCACACTGCAGTGTCTAACTGTGGTATGGATATAGGAAAACAAGACCACAGTTCTGGAGAGTGTACAAATATGCCCATAAATATATCACAATTTAGAAAATAAAAGTGATATTTCAAATTGATAAGAAAAGGGTTTTAGGACAATTGGCTTTCCAAAGTGAATAAAAGAATAAAAATCTCAAGTTAAAGATTTAAATATTTTTAAAAAATCAAGTACTTAAAGAAAATTAAGAGTTATCTTAGGATAAGAAGGATCTTTATAACTTGAAACTATGAAACAATAAAGTGATTTGACAAATTTTATTACAAAAATTAGAATATTTTGAATAGCAAAAGATACAAAAAAAAAAAATGACCAGGAAAAATATTTCCAGTACACAGAATAGGGAGTTACTATTCCTACTAAAATCTCCTACAAAGCAAGTAAAACAGTCAAAACAAAAGTAGGCAAAGAACATAAAATGAGGCTGAGAGAAAACACAAGAGCAAAAATTCATAAGTTGGAAAGAGAATGAAGAAGAAATAACTATGAACCTACATGGGAATGCTGACTCCTGTGTCAGCAGTAGCAAAAGCCACTGTCCATTTACATCAAGAGCCCCGAAAAGACTTAGGAAGTGGGACCAAGTACATCTAGAAGTAGGGGTAAGAGGGGACTATAAGCAGGATACTGGTTAAAAATCTTAAAAAGAAGAACATGCCTAGTTATTTCTATGCTGCACCATCAGGATTCACCCCTCCCCATTCCTGACAGTTTTTTTTTTTTTTTTTTTTTTTCTCTAGAGAGGGTCAAACAGAAAGTCTTTGGGCAGGAAGTAAATAAATATGCATTGTTTAGTGTTGAGGGAAGAGATATCATGTTGAAAAAAGAGAAAATAATGAAGTAAAAAATATATATATACAGTGAATAAAACACGCCCCCCCAACACACACACACACACACACACACACACACACACACAAATTTCTCTAACCTGGATTCCAAAAAACTGATCGCCAAGTATATCTCTTCTAGGTAGGAGAGTGGAAGAAGTCTGACTCACCAAGAGAAAAGTCTAAAGATACCAATATTCAGGGTTTCCCAAGGAAACAACTGACCAAATCGGTCTATACTAAAGATCATTGTGATGATCAAAGTTTTTAAACAATTGTGTGTATGTGTGTGTGTGCGAGTGCGCTAGAGATGGAATCTGGGGCCTCATAAATACTAGGCAAGTACTCTACTACTGAGTTATACACCACACCTCCAATCCACTTTTTAGTATCCAGGATCTTGAATATGAACAAACTATCAAGATTCCCCATTTATTTGAAGAAAGTTTCTAAAATGATAGAGACCAAAACAATTGATTAGAAAACAACTTAAAAGAAACAGTCTACTCAGAGAAGAGAAAAACAATAATAGTTGATATTCTCAAATGGCATATTGCAAAATGAAATGACAGCAGGGTGCTACATAAAATAGGAATATTTAGAGAGTAAAACAACTTTTAAATGTAAAATAAGATAGCAAACATGAAAATATTCTGCTATTAAAATACAACATAAAGGCTGCACAGTGGCACATGCCTGTAATCCCAGCAGCTCAGGAAGCTGAGACAGGAGGATCAGGAGTTCAAAGCCACCCTCAGCCATGGCAAGGTGTTTAGCACTCAGTGAGACCCTGTCTCTACAAAATAGGGCTAGGGATGTGGCTCCAAGGTTGAGTGCCCCTGAGTTCAATCCCGGCTACCTCCACTCCCCCCCCCCCCCAAAAAAAAAAAAGACAGGAAAAAAACAAGATAATTGAGGAAATCTCTTAGAAAGCAGAGAAAAAAATATACCAAAGATAGGAAAGATGAAAATCAGAGGATCCATCCAAGAAGTCCAACATTTGACTAATAAAAATGCCACAAAGGGAAAATAGAGAAACAGGAGAGGGGACAAAATTATGAGACATAATTAGAGAAAACAGAAGAATTTAGTTTGCAAAATCCCAATGAATATGCTGTTGGTGGTGGTTGTCTTTTCTTTGTTTTTGTGGGTGGCAGAGACATGAGTATTTGTTTTACAATAAATCATTAAACTATATTTATGGCTTTATGGATAGGTATTCTATGTATGTATTTACAATTTTTTAAGTTAAAGGGAAGAAAGGTCCACCAAGTGTTCAACAATGAATTAAAATAGACCCACTGTGTGAGTCAGCTTTTTGTTACTGTGACCAAAATACCTGAAATGATCAATTTAGAGAAAGAAATGTTTATTTGGGGCTCAGGGTTTCAGAGATCTCAGTCCATGGTTGGCCAACTCCATTTATTTGGGCCCAAGAAAGTCATCATGGCAGAAGGGTGTAGTAGAGGGAAGCTGCTCAGCTTATGGCATATGGGAAACAGAGAGAGTCAAGGAGGAACCAGGGACAAAATATAATCCCCCAAGGGCATGCCCATAGTGACCTGCTTTTCCCATCCACACCCTACCTGCCTACAGTTACCACCCAGGAATCCATTCAAAGGAATAATCCATCAACTGATTAGGTTATGGGCCTCATAATCTAATCATTTTACCTCTGAACATCCATGAGCTTTTTCAGGGGACATCTCACATCCAAACCATAATACTCACATTGTGGCACATAATAAAATCTCAAGATACTGAGGTAAAAAGAGCTTATCAGCTTCCAAATCAGAAAGAAACAGATTTCAGACAAAGGATCAAGAATTAGAGTGGTATTATAACTCTCAACAGCAATTCTGGAAGCTCAAAGACAATGGAGCAATGCCTCAAAATTCTGCAGGAAAATTATTTTCAACCTAGAATTCTGTATTTGGCTATGTTCTCAGTGAAACATTAGGCGAGAATAAAAAACATTTTAAGATATAAAATATCTCTAAAAGTTACTTTTGGTGTACCCTTTTCTTTAGGAAGATACAACAAGGTATGTTTTACTAATATAATAAATCAACTATCACAGAAGTCAAGTGGTGTTCAAGAAACAAAATAACAAAGAGATGAAAGAAATTCCCAGGATAATAGAGATTATAAAAATAGAGATTAACCCAAGACAATAGAGAAGAAAAATCCTCAATCTGAAAGCATATCACACCCTAGAGAATAAACTGCCCATCAGTGATTCACTGAAATCCAAAAGAAGGAGGGAAGAATCAAGGATTACTTCCAGGGCTCTAGTTTGAACAACCTGATGAAGCACTATGTAATTAGATAAGAAACCCTAAATGAGCAGGGTATAAGAGCAGATGTGTCTTTGGACATGTTGCGTTGCAACAGAGAGCGAGAGTATGCACTTACCAAACAGCATTGACACAGAGTTATGAGCTATCAGAACAAAGATGGCAACCTAAGTTCCCGAAGAGATCACCCAGGAACAAATGTAGAACGAAAAGAAAATAGGGCCTAGGAGAGCCCTAAAAACTCCCAGATTTCAGGATGGGAGAGAGGAAGTCAACAAAAGGAGAGATCAGAGAGATAAGAAGAAAATGAAGAGAATGTGAGTATTATGGTTTAGATATGAGGTGTTCCCCCAAAGCTCATGTGTGTCAATGCAAGAATTTTCAAAGATGAAATAATTAGATTATGAGAGCTATAACCTGATCAATCCACTGATATGGATTAACTGAGTGATAATTATAGGCAGGTAGGCTGTGGATGGAGGAGGTAGGTCATTGGAAGTGTGCCTTTGAGGTTTATTTTTTGTCCCTGGTGAGCGGAGCTCTCTCTCTGCTACCTGATTGCCATGAGCTCCCTCCTTCCTCCGTGCCCTCCTGCAGTGATGTTCTGCCTCACTTCAATCCAGAGCAATGGAGTTGGCCATTAATAGACTAAGACCTCTGAAACCATGAACCCCAAATAAACTTTTCCTCCTCTACATTGTTCTTGTCAGGTCTTTTGGTCACAGCTACAACAGGTAGACTAAAACAGTGGGGAAACCTGAAAAACAAAAGATATTGCTTCAAGAAGGATGACATGCTTAATAGTCAAAGAGGAAAAGGAGTTAAAATTGTACAGTGAATTTCATGACAGGGAAGTCACTTATCATAAGAGCAACAATTTTTACTATGTGATATCAGAGATTAAAAAGATTGATTTTAGAGTTATCAAGCTATAGAGAAATAGCACACTTGTGTTGTTGGTGGAAATGTTTTTATAAGCAATTTGGGAATATCTGTCAAACAGGAAACATATGATATCTAACCCAGATACTTATCCACATACTTTTTCCAACAGAAATTCTGGGTCAAGTGTGAAAAATAAGTACAAGAATGTTCAAAGCAGCCCTTTGTAGAAAAGTTGAGGCAGAAGGAAATAACTATATCAATATCAAGTGGATATAGGAATGATCAAATTTAATAAATGTTTCTAATGCATGCCTATGCAACTGCTCATAAATGAAGCAGATATGGTTGTGCTAACATGGAATGGCATGAAAAAGCAGTATATGTAGTTCCCATGTTTCTGACACCATACACAGGAATGAATATGCATGCACTATTATAATGGCAATATAAATGTGTTTGTAAATACATAGGTAGGTAACAAGACAAAAATAAAAACAGAGGTAAAATTTATGAAATGGTATTGGGGCAAAGGAGTCTTTTACTTTGCTACCAATCAAATTTTTTACAAGAATGTATTATTTTATCAATTTTTAAAAAGAACATGAAAGGATAAAAGAGCATCTACTAAGCCAAGAATATGGGAGAACTAGAATGGTTGGCTGGCTGACATCTTACCTTCTATGAAGCAAGTTCTTGACATAGGATTTGCTGATGACATGTGGTAGCTGAAATTCTGGGCAGGATTCTTCATGTTTCATACAGTCTTTGAAGTGAACAGAAAGAAATAGTTGATTCAAAAGCTGCAGTGCTTGTCGGCAATCCACATTGCTTTCTGTGCACATGTTTAGGGCTGCATAGATTAATCCCTCCAGCCATTTGATATTGAGGATTATTCCCCCTACACATCAATGAGAAAGTAAATACCAATCAGCACACCAAAAATGAGTTACAGGGATCCTAGGAGAAACCCGAGACACTGATTATAAGCCACAGGTTGGTAATAAGGACCTGGAGATGAGCAAACACTCTTCCCTCCAATAGGTAACAGCTCAATTTTCCCTTTATAACATCATGTGTTGACCATACAAAGGAGGACAGATGACTAATGTAGACATTGCAAATGAGGCAAAAGTTTATCCAGAATGGTCCTTGCCAATAATGGAAGGTACTGGAGAAAATTTAAGATTAGAATATGGGAAAGCCATTTTAGTTCCAGATATTGCATTCTCTTGTTTATTTCCTCTGGTTATTTCCACTTCATCTTTAAGAGTACAGATAACCAGCCTTCTCAATATTCCCTAATTATGGCTGCTTTTTATCATCAAACACTGATCTAATTCCAAACCTAAAGGACTGAGAATATATTTAAGTTGTGCTCTCCACAACAATCACGCCATTCAGGGATTTAATGAGATCAGAACAGGCGAGGGAAAGGCAATTTCAAAAGAACACCATAAATATAGTGAATCGTTACCATCAGGACTGTAGGGGCAGGTAGCCCGAAGAATCACAGGATCTTGGAGAGCAGCTGTGATTTCCTTATTGGCTCCCCAGATCTTCTCAAAATCCTCAACACAATGATACTGAGGTCGCAAGATGTTGGTGTGGTTCAATAATAGTTTCAACCTGGAAGGCACCAAAACTGGGAATGCAATGCCATTTATGCCAAAGACTGGGATAAATAAGTATATAATCTATTGCATTCACACCCAACACCAGCAAACAGGCTTTCCTACATAGCACTGCTCAGAGGCAAATGCAGGTCTAGGTCTGCAATGAGGGCACTAATTAGTTGGATTGTTCATCCATCCATCTAACAAACACTAATTGAATGTTTTCATGAGCCAGGCACGAGGCTAGATACTAGGAGTAGAAAAATAATATTTGATACATATTTATAGTAACCTCTCATGTTGTTGACTGTTAGTTTCTCTTCTCATTGATGCACAGAGGAATATCATTCAGCTTCAAGTAGTGGGAGATAATGTGCTCCTACAAATTCTCAACATTCACACAGCAAACAAATATCTCACCCACAAGCACTCTTTGTGGGAAACTGGGGAAGACACAATTAGAAAGGCTGGCTGGGTCTTTCAGCAGATCAAGCTGCCTTATCTTTATTACTGGGAATGACCAACTCCAAGAGGGAAGCAGTAGTCAGAGATAAGAAAACAGCAGTTCTGCCAATTATGTTCTTGTCCTAACAAGATACCTGGGTATTGGGATGGCTGCTACAAAGCTGAACACAATGCAGGCCTTTTCAAGACTGGTTTGAATTTGTATGCAGATATGAGGCAGCTGAGATGGCAAGCAGCAGAGGAATATCACGTTGGCCCAACCCACCAGACCAGAATTATGGTAAAAGCACTGGACCCCCAGCTTCTGGAACTCAGCTGAGAAGGATAAAGGAAGACAGAAAAAGAGCACAGTACAAGGAGTTTGACCTGAGCATCAGTTATGGGGAGAGGATGATCACTATTTTATCTCAGTAAATCAACCCAAGACTTGCTGCCACACATATCAGAAGACACTCCTATCTATCTTCTTCGAGCTACGCAGCAAGCCCTAAGCCCGTTGCTAAAGCAGCCAGTGCTACTGCAGCAACATTTGAGATGCTAATACAATTAATTTTTATCTTACTTTTACACCAAATGCTAGAATTCTTCAAAAAGTTTTAAGGAAGAAAAAAAATCTCTCGGCTTCAGTTTACTGAAGATTTACAATGGGCCAGAGAATTTACTTTATGTACATTATTTAAGGTAATCCTCATAAGGATCTTCTGAGGCAGAGCCGAGTTGTATTCCTATATTATAGAAGAGGAAACTCAGACTTCAGTATGCCATGTGACTTGCCCAAAGTTATACAGCTCAGTGTCTTGGGTGGGTAAGACTAGGAGAGTAGAAAAGTATAGAGCAAACACTGGGAAGAGTTTGGAAAGATTTAAAGAGTTCATAATGTAAGTATACACAACTTAATAGGATATTTATCAATACAGAGAAATGTGATAATTCATGGAGTGCATAAAAACACTCACTGGTAGTTAATCATTTGATTGTATTTAATTCATGGAGTGCATAAAAACACTCACTGGTAGTTAATCATTTGATTGTATTTAATGCAATACAAATTTTTCAAAAGTGAGAATTTAAAGCATACACTCACATCTGGCACATATTCTAAGTGTCATTGAAAAAAAGGATATGTGGGGAATGAGATTGACCAAATTATATTGTGCCTGTATATATGTATGAATATTTAACAAGAATCCAACCAGTATGCATAATTATAATACACTGACAAAACTTTTTAAAAAGAAAATATGAGAGACACTGGAGAGGTGACTTCTTATTTTAACAACCAAGAATACATGACAGAAATGATGCTGAGATTATCCAGATACTCATGATCCTGGAAAACAGATAGGACAAAGAGAAAGTTTAGAAAGCAGGGGCATGCATCATTCTTTCATGAGTCATTCTATTTCCTTACTCTTGCATAGAAGTTGATGCTGATCATTTTGAATCTTTGGTTCTTTACACAACACACAGAGGAATTTTTTTAAGAGAGAGAGAGAGAATTTTTTTTAGTATTTATTTTTCAGTTTTCAGTGGACACAACATCTTTATATTATTTTATGTGGTGCTGAGGATCGAACCCAGCGCCCCATGTGTGACAGGCAAGCACGTTACCGCTTGAGCCACATCCCCAGCCCACATAGAGGAATTTTTAAACTAATTTTATTACTAAAAACATATTGCTTCCCAAAGAATATATGTACTATATTGAAATATCATATTTACTAATTCTACCACTGGGGCTAGGAAATATGCCTTAATCTGGCACAATCGAGCACACCTGTAACCCCAGGGACTCAGGAGGCAGAGGCAGGATGGTTGTTGCAAGTTCGAGGTCAACTTCTACCACTTAATGAGACCCTATCTCAAAATAAAAAATAAAAAATGGGCTGGGGATGTAGTTCAGGTATAGAGCACTCCTAGGTTCAATACCCAGTACTGAAAAAAACAGAAAGAAAGAAATACACCTTGAGTAATAAGACTTTTTAAAAAAGTTTCCTTTCTATAGAAAGAACATTTACAAATCAGTAAGAAAAACATAGGCACTCTAACTTAAAAAATGGGCCAATACTGAAAAAAGATGAAATAGCAATAAACTTACAAAAAAATGTAAATTCCTCTAGTGATCAATTAAAAACAGGAAAAATTGAAAAGGCAATTAGAATGGCAATGTTAAAAATGATTCCCAGCATTGACAGTGGCATAATAAAACAATTTTCATACATTGCTGATAAAAATTTACACCTGAACAAGATTTTTTGAGGTTAATTTAAAAAAAAAAAAGTATTAGAAATTCCTTAACAAATAAATATATACTTACCACATGACTCAGCCATTTCACTCTCAAGTATTTACCAAAGAAAAATGAAAGTAAGGAATGGGAATATAAAGTTTGCCTAGCATGCATGAGGCCCTGAATTCAATCCCCAGCTCCACAAAAAGAAAGAAAAAAGAAAGTAGTGCACATGAACACTTACATTAAAAATGTTCATAGTGGGGCTGGAGATGTGGCTCAAGCGGTAGCGGGCTTGCCTGGCATGTGTGCGGCCCAGGTTCAATCCTCAGCACCACATACAAACAAAGATGTTGTTGTGTCCGCCGATAACTAAAAAAATAAATATTAAAAATTCTCTCTCTCTCTCTCTCTCTCTCTCTCTCTCTCTCTCTCTCTCTCTCTCTCCCCCTCCCTCTCCCTCTCTCTTTAAAAAAAAAAATGTTCATAGCGGCAGCTGGGGCTATAGCTCAGTTGGTAGAGTGCTTACCTTGCATTAACAAGGCCCTGGGTTCAATCCCCAGCACCCCCCAAAAAATGTTCATAGTGGCTTTATATGTGATAGCCAAAAACTAAATACTCTATATTAACAGGTGAATAAACTATGCAATATTAATACAATGAAATGATACTCAGAAGTAAAAGGATATTGATACATGAAAGACATATCTCAAAATAATTATGTAGAGTAAAAGAAACCAGACCGAAATAAATGCACACTGTATGACCCCATTAATACAAAAAAAAATTCTAGAGAATAAAACTAATCAATCTGTAGAGACAGAAATCATTGTCATTAAATTCTTGGGTGGGGAGCTGCAGGGATATAGAGATTCATGAAGGGCAAGAGGCAACTTTTGAGGGTATGCTTATTATCTTGAGTGTGTTGATGGCTTCACAGGTATACTATTATAGTTTGGATATGAGGTGTCCCCCAAACACTCCTGTGTTAATGCAGGAATGATCAGAGGTGAAATGATTAGATCACAAGTTCTATGACCCAATCTGTGGACTAATCCATTTGATGGATTAATAATTTGAATGGACTAACTGGGTGTAAACTGTATGCAGGTGGGGTGTGCCTGGAGGATTTATATTTCCTTGGTGCCTCACTTGCTTCCCCTGCCTGCCCCTACCCTCTCCTTCCCAGCTGCCATGAAGTGAGCAGCTTTCCTCTGCTACACCCTACCACCATGATGTCTTGGTCTCACCTTGGGCCCAGAGTAATGAGCCAGAAGACCATGAACTGAACCTCTGAAACCATGAACTCAAAATAAACTTTTCCACTTCTAAGTTGGTCTTGTTAAGTATTTTGGTCACAGTGACATAAAACTAACATATGTACACGTGTCAAAACATTAAATTATGGGCTGGGGATGTGGCTCAAGCGGTAGCGCGCTCGCCTGGCATGCGTGCAGCCTGGGATCCATCCTCAGCACCACATACAAACAAAGATGTTGTGTCCGCCGAACAACTGGAAGAATAAATATTAAAATTCTCTCTCTCTCTCTCTTTAAAACAACAACAACAACAAAAATAAACATTAAATTATATGCTGTGTATGTAGTTTATTGTATGCAAATAACATCTTAATAACATTATACCCTCATGTTGATCTAGTTAATAACTGACAATCCTGAGAAGAAGATTACAGGTACTTATTATTTTCTTCTTTCTAATATTTTTATTTCAAAATAAAACATAACTTTCAAAAATTATGTACAAGGAAATTCAACTAAATATTTATGGCACAGTTATGTAAATTACAGTATATCCCATACTTTGGAATGCTATACAATCTTAAACTCATATTTACATTAATCTATTTACTGAGATAAATAAATTTTAAATCCTGAGACAAAAATAGAGAAAGGTAGAATGGGCATGGAGGATCTGGCACTCCTAGCCACTGCCCAGACACACACCTTTGCATCTAAATGTCCAGACCCCAGAGGCAGTAAGCATACCTGCCCAGAAGACACAGGGAGTGCTCTCAAAGACTGTCTGTGGGACAGTGGAAGGGTTTTAAATCATTATTGTGAAGTGATACAGAAACTTATGCTTATGATATATTAAATTTAAAAGGCATAATACAAACAGGTAGGCACAGTATCGACGTTATGGTTTAGATCTGACGTGTCCTGCAAAAGCTCGTGTGTGAGACAATGCAAGAATTTTCACAGGTGAAAGGATTAGATAATGAGAGCTATAACATAATCAGTGGATTAATTCACTAGTATGGATTAACTGGGTGGTAGTTATAGGCAGGTAGGGTGTAGATGGAGGAGGTAGGTCACTGAGGGTGTGCCTTTGGGGTTTGTATTTTGTCCCTATTGAGTGGAGCCCTCTTTCTGCTTCTTGTTTGCCTAATCCTGAGATGCTTTCCTCTGTCCTTCTGCCATAATGTTCAGCCTTACCTTCCGCCCAGAGCAATGGAGTTGGCCATCTATGGATTGAGATCTCTGAAACTGCAATAAAATAGACCTTTTCTCTTTGACACTATTCTTGTCATATCTTTTTTGATCACAGCAATAGAACTGACTAAAACAATAACTGAGATAATTAGAGAAATCAAAAGGAAAGAAAGCTGGGCTGGAAATATAGCTCAGTTGGTCGAGTGCTTGACCTGCATGTACAAAGGCCTGGGTTCAATCCTCAACAGAACAAAAAGAAAAGGGCAGGGGCAAGAAAACTGATAACCCTGATAAGATTATTACAGGTAGTTATTATTTTCTTCCTTCTAATATTTTATAATATATATTATTTATATTGTTTTATTTTTCAGGTTTTATTATTGAAAGATGATTTAGATACAGTGCCACACAGATCTGAAGTATATGTTTTGAACAGTTGTAAAAAATGCATACATTCATATAATTCATACTTTTCTCAAGATGTAAAATATTTCCATCTCCCCAGAAATTCCTCCAGGACCTTTCTCAGTCTTTCTTACCAGAAGTAATCATTGTTCTTATTTCTTTTTCTTACAGTACTGGGGATTGAACCCAAGGTCTTGCACATGGTAGGTAAACAGTCTACCACTAAGCTATATTCATAGTTCCTCCTTGCTCTTATTTCTATCACACAGGTTAGTAAATGGAATTATTATTAAACAGTTTTTGAAATCCAATAAATGTTATTTTTAAAAACTACCAGGCCAACTGCAAATATTTGAAACTGTTTAACACCCACCAGAATTTACCTAGTTGAGTTAGAAGATTTGAACTTTGTATGGAAAGCTTCCTTGAATCCAGAAGACAATTCACCACCAAGGACACAGGCAGGAGAGGCTGATATAAAACAGTTCAGTGGAGAAAAAGGTTGTTTTAAACCACATGTTTAAAAGCCATCTTTCTAGCTTTTGGAGCTAGCAATCTAAGCACTCTGGTGCTGTGCACAAGAATTCCCCGTTTAAAGGGACTCTCAAAATGGCTTTGAAATCATCTAACCAGCACATCTAAACTCCACTGTCTAACACACATTGCTCACCCAGGACCTCTGGCCTCCGAGTGGAGATCCGCAGACTTGCAGCAGGGATGGGGACAAGTTGTAGCAGTGTACGAGCCAGTTGCTTCCCGAGACGGCCACCTCCAATGATGCCAACCTTTAGGTTCCTGTTGTCATCTATGTCCACGTCACCTGATTTAGTTGAGAGAGAGCTGGAATTTTGATTCTTTTGTAATAATTCTCTGGAGAATGAACAGACAAACATACATAAATATATGTACACACTATAGCTCTTCCTGTCAACGTCTAATGTTCATTGCTTTCATTTTCTCAGAAGCCTAGTGGCACCTTAGGTACTTCAGAGAGAAAGCATTTCAATCATGTGCCATTTACCCAGCTTTACTAACAAATTAAATGTTCCATCTGAATACATTTTTTAGAAATGTTATCACACCCCCTTTCCAAGGGACCAAAACTAGATTAAAACCTTTTAAAATGAACATCTTTTGGTTACATACATTATGTGTTTTCCTGCCTTCTTAAACACAAGTCTGAATATTTAATCATTTCATTGACTTTGGGCCATCACTGTGAACAGCCAATCTTGTACCTTATACCATAGTGTGTGACGCATGTGGACTTACTCCTTTTTGTTTTCAAGGCTGACAGCTGTCAAATTTTTTTAATCATGATAAAGAACAAATAACAAGCAATTAACCATTTTAGCTATTTTTAAGTGTATAGTACTATTAACAATAAGCACACTATTGTGCAACAAATCTCTAGAAAGAGACAGGAGGATCATAAGTTCAAAGCCAGCCTCAGCAATTTAGCAAGACACTTAGCAACTCAGTGAGCTCCTGTCTCTAAATAAAATACAAAAAGGGGCTGGGCATGTGGCTCAGTGGCCAAGGACCCCTGAGTTCAATCCCTGGTAGCAAAAAAACAAAAACGAAAACCTAAAACTACATATCCATTGAATAACAACTCCCCTGCCCCCAACTTTTGGCAACTACATTCTACTTTCTGTTTCTGTTTCTGCTTTAGATGCCTCACTGAAGTGTAATCATGCAGTATTTATCTTTTTGCAACTGGCTTATTTCACTTAGCATAATGTCTTCAAGTTTCATCCATGTTGTAGCATAAGATTTTTTTTAGGGCTGAATAATATTCTGCTGTGTTATATAACACAATTTCTTTATCTCTTCATCACCAGTGGACACTTAGATTGCTTCCACATCTCGACTACCAGTAATGATCCTGCAATGAACGAATGCGCAAATATCATGCTGAGATTCTGTTTCTAATTTTCTTGGATATATACCCAGAAATGGATTTTTGGATCATATGGCAATTCTGTTTTTAAAATTTTGAGGACCCTCCATATTCTCCTCTGTAGTAACTACACCATTTTACATTCTCACAAACAGTGCACAAGAGTTCCAATTTCTCCACATCCTCACCAAAACTCGCTTGTTTCATTTTCTAATTACAACCATTCTAACAGACATTCTAATAGGATAATTCATTGTGAATTTGATTTGCATTTTCCTGATGATTAGTGATATGAGCATCTTTTTATATACCTGTTGTCCATTTCATGTGTGTGTGTACATATGTATGAAATATATATACAGTGAAATATACACAAGTAATGTGTTTGACTTCATTCTTTAATAGGTGGATAACCAATTTCCCCAAAACTATTGGTTGAAGAGACTATCCCTGTTGTGTAGATTTGGTATAGGATCACTTGACTGTATTATGTGGTTTATTTCTGGGGTATTTTGTTCCATCAGTCTATTGGCCAACTTTATGCAAGTACCAAGCTGTTTTGATCACTATAGCTCGGTAATGTGTTTTGAAATCAAGAAGTATGAGGCCTCCAGCTTTTTTATTTTTTAACTTTCTCAAGATGGTTTTGGCTATTCTTTTGAGATTCCATATTAATTATTGCATGCTTTTATTCTATTTTTACCAAAAAAATGCCATTGGGATTTTGATAAGGATTGAATTAAATCTATAGATCACTTTGTGGACTTTTTTTTGAGGGATGGGGATACTGGGGTGCTTTATCACTGAGCCACATCCCCAGCCCTTTTTATTTTTTTAATTTGAGACAAGGTCTTACTAAGTTGCTGAGGATCTTGCAAAATTGCCCAGGGTGGCCTTGAACTTGAGAGCCTCTTGCTTCAACCTCTTGAGAGTCATTGAGTTTACAGGTGTGTACAGCATGAACAATTTAATACTGTAAGTCTTCCAATCTATAAGCATAGGGTGTCTTTCCATTTACTTAAGTCCTCTTAATTTCTTTCAGCATGTTTTGTTGTTTTCAGTGTGCAGGCCTTTTACCCCATTGTGTTAAGTTTTTTTTTTTTTTTAATTATTTGATGCTACTGCAAATGTGTTTGTGTTCTCTCTCTCTCTCTCCCTCTCTCTCTCTCTCTCTCTCATGAGCCCTTGAACCCAGAGTCTGTGTATGCATGTACCACTGAGCCACACCCCCAGCTGACATTGTTTTCTCATTTTCAGATTATTGTTTGTTAGATTAAAGAAATGCTACTAATTTTTGAGTGCTGGTTTCATATCCTGCAACTTTGCTAAATGTTTACTAGTTTTAACAGTTTTGGGGGAAGAATTTGGGGTCTTTTAATTCAAATTTGTTATATATGACAGTAGAATGCATTACATTTCATATTACACATATAGAACACAATTTTCCATGTCTCTGGTTGTATACAAAGTAGAGTCACACCATTCGTGTCTTCATACATGTACTTAGGGTAATGATGTCCAACTCATTCCACCATCTTTTCTACCTCGACACCCCCTCCCTTCCCCTCTCACCCAGTCTTTGGGTTTTCTACATATAAAATCAGTCATTATAAGCAGAGATCATTTTACTTCTTCCTTTCCAATTTGGATGTCTAATTTTTCTTTCTTCCCTAATTCCTCTCACTCTACCCGTACCACCATTGAGTGTGATGTTAGCTTGAGCTTTCCATGTCTGGCCTTTATTGAGTTGAGGTGATTTCCCTCCTTTCCTAGTTTGTTGAGTGTTTTTATCATCAAAGGGTTGCTTACTTTCTCAGCTGCTTTCTCTGCTGATCAAAATGATCCTGGGGGTTTGTCTCTTCTAAAACTTATGCTGAAACTTAATTGTCACTGTGACAGTTTTGAGAGATGGAACCTTTGGAAATTGATTGGGTTATGAGGGCTCCACCCTCATGAATTGATAAATGCCATTACCATGGTAGTAGGCTAGTTATTATAGGAGTGGTTTTGTTTTATGGCACTGGGATTGAACCCAGAAACACTCTTCCACTGAGCTACAGCCCTTTAAATTTTTTATTTTTGAGACAGGCTCTTGCTAAGTTGTAGAGGCTGGCTCACAATACTCCTGCGTTGGTCTCCTGAGTTGCTGGGATTACAGGCATGTGCCACTGTACCTGGAGCAGGAGTGGCTTTGTTATAAAACAGCCCTCTTATGTACATGCTCTCTTGCTTCCAGTCTCTCTCTTTCTGTCTCTCTCTCTCTCTCTGTCTCTCTCTCTCTCTCTCGTAGTCTCTCACCAGGTGGACTGTGAGAAATAAATGTATTTTCTTTATAATTTATAAACTCTGTGGTATTGTTATAGCAGAAAAAAAATGAACTAAGACAAGGTGTTATGTGAGGTTTTTGATTTGAGATCTCTTTTCTTTTCTTTTTTTTTTTTTTAGTTGTAGTTGGACATTTATTTATTTTTATGTGGTGCTTAGGATTTAACCCAGTGCCTCATATGTACCAGACAAGAGCTCTACCACTGAGCCACAACCCCAGCCCCCTCTCTTCTTTTTTAATGTAGGCATTTAGACCTATAAACTTCCCTTAGTATTGCTTATGCTGTTATGCTGCATCCCATTAGTTTTGATGTCATGTTTCCATTTTCATTTTTCAAGATATTTTCTAATTTCCCTTTTTGTGTATCTGTGTGTGGTGCTGGGGATTGAACCCAGGACCTTGTGCATGTGAGGCAAGTACCCTACCAACTGAGCTACATCCCTAGCACTTCCCTTTTCTTTTTTGAGCCATTAATGAGTATGTTAATTTCCACATTTTTGTAAATTTTCCTTTGGCTACTCTAGGTTTTTTTTTTAGTCAGCTTTTTCATCACCGTGACCAAAAGATCTATTGATTGAAAAGAACAATTATAATTTAAGGTTTACCATTTCAGAGGTTTCAGTCCTTAAATGGCTTACTCCATTGCTCTAGACCCAAGGTGAAGTAGAATATCACGGCAGAGGGGCGTGGCAGAGGAATGGCTTAGGATTTGACAGCAAGAAGGCAAAGAGAGCACTCACCAGGAACAAAATAAAAACCTCAAAGGCACATGCCAGCGACCAGCACATCCTACCTGCCTACTGTTACCACCCAGTTAATCTGTATCAGTTGATCAATCCATTGATTAGGGTACAGCTTTCATAATCTAATCAATTCACCTGTGAAAATTCTTCCATTGTCTCACACATGAGCTTTTGGGGACACCTGTAAACCGTAACAATTTCATTGTGGTAAAAGATTCCTGATATGATTTTAATATTAGATGTGTTTAGACTTATTTTGTGGCCTAATGGTGATCTATCCTGGAGAATGTTCCATGTGTACTTCAGAATATATTGTTTCCTGCTGTCAAGTAGAGCGCTATGCATTTGTTGGTTAGATTCCAGCTGGATTTCACCCCTTTGTATCCTAATTTGGTCTCCTATCTGGTTGTTATAGCTTTTATTGAAAATGGAGAGTTGAAATCTCCTACTATTATTTGTTTGTTCTGTTTTGGGTGCTTGGTATCCAAACCAGGGCCTTGTACATGCAAGGAAAGCACTCTATCAACTGAGCTATATCCCCAGCCCCTCCTACTATTATTGAGTACCTTCAATTTTGACAATATTTACCTCATATACTTGGATGCTTTGATACTAAGGGCATATATATTTACATTTGTTATATCTTCCTGGTGAATTTGTTTTTTTTTATCATAATAAATAAGTCATTCTTTGTCCCTCATGCCAGTTTTTGACAAAGTATTGCTGATACAAATATGGCCTATTTTCTTTTGGTTACCATTGGTATGGAATATCTATTTCTATCTTTTTAATTTCAGACTGTGTGTCGTTGTCTCTCCATTCAGCAACTCTGTGTCTTTTGATTGGAGAGTTTACTCCATTTATATATAAAGTAATTGCTGATAGGGAAGGACTTACTTTTGCCATTTTGTGAATTGCTTTCTGCTTTATCTTGTAGCTATCTTGTTCCTCTTTTTCTCTTGCTGCTTTCCTTTGTGTTTCATTTTTGTAATGATATGTTTTAATTCCCTTATCATTTTCTTCTGTTTATCTTCCATGGGGATTTTCTTTATGGTTACCACAGAGAAAGACATAAGAATCCTAGGTATAATAACTTATTTTAAACTGATATGGTTTTACTTTAATCACATATAAAAACTCTATTTCTTTACTCTTCCCCTCACCCATTTTTTGTTATTGTTGTCACAAATTACACCTTTTTATATTTTGTATCTATAAACATAATCAGTTGTTTCATGCTTTCACAATTCTATAACAGAATTAGGAATTATTTATATAACACCTATTACAGTATTGAAGGCTATGTATTTGCATATATATTTAACTTTACCAGAGAGATCATTTTTGTATACTTTCATGTTGCTATCTAGCATCTTTTCATTTTAATGTTAAGGACTCTCTTTACCATTTATTGTAAGGCTTATCCAGCAGTGATGAACTCCCTGATCTTTTATCTGGGAAGGTATTTTTTTCTCCTCAATGTTTGAAGGAGTTAGACTAGATAAGGTATTTTCAGTTGGCTATTTTTTCTTACACACTTTGAATATATCAAATCACTCTTTCTGGCCTGTAATGTTTTTGTTGAGAAATAGTCTTTTGGAAGCTCCCTTGTATGTGAATTGTCTTTTTTCTGTGTTCAATGTTCTTTGATAGTTTGAATATGGTGTGTTTGTATGGGTTCTTTAGATTCAAGTTAGAGTTCTTTGAGCTTCTTGAATTTAGACTTTCTTCAAATTTTGGAAGTTTAGGGCCTGTATTTCTTCAAATAGGTTCTCATCTCCTTTTGAAATTCCCATCATGCATCTATTGACCTGCTAAATGGTGTCCTCTATCTTCATCTCTCTTCTCCTCCCTTCTCCTCCTCTCTGCTTCTTTCTTCCTTCTGATTTCATAATTTTAATTGTCCCATCTTTGAGTTCACCAATCCTTCTGTTTGGTTAAGTCTAATGTTGAACATCTCTGGTGAATTGTCTCATTTCAGCATTCTGTTCTTCAGCTCAAGATTTTAATACTTTCTTTTTGGTGATATTCTCATTTGTTCAAGTGCTCTTTTTCTGATTTCATTTAGTTGTTCACCTGAGTTCTATAAGTCCTTGTGCTTTTTTATTTTTTTAAAAAAGATTGCTATTTTGAATTGTTAGGTAATTTGTAGATCTGCTTCTTTAGGGTTGGTTTCCAGAGATTGTTTGTTCCATTGATTGGGCCATGTTTTCTTGTTTCTTCATATATCTTGTTATTCTTTGCTGGGATTTGAGAATGTAAAAAACATCCACCTCTCTCAATCTTTATAGACTGGTTACATACTGGGGGAGAACTGTACCAATTGTCCAACAGGAGATCCTGAGGCCTTCTTAAAGTTTTTCTGGGTAATGTTTTCTCTGTGTTTTTTTTTTTTTTTTTTTTTTTTTAGTTGTAGATAGACACAGTATCTTTATGTGGTGCTGAGGATCAAACCCAGGGCCTCACACATGCTAGGCAAGTAAGTGCTCTACCACTGAGCCCCAGCTCCAGCCCCTCTGGGCTTGTTTTTGTAATTGCCCAACTAGAGAAGTCAGTCTGTTTCTTTTGCAGGAGCTTGCGCTCGCTCGTTCTCTCTCTCTCTCTTATGTCTCACCAGGATACTGCACATTCTCTATTCTACAAGAAGCCACTGAGCTCTTCTTGGTTCTCATTCAAAGCATGTTGACCCCCATCAGGCAGTCTTTCAGGCAACCCTGAAAAGCTAGAATGTTGAATATACATTTCACTTTTCTAAGGTAAAATCTCTAAATTGGGTGTTTTCTCCTGATCATACCAAGTTGTAGTGGTTTGAGAAAGGCTATCTCAAGTCAAGTGCAACCATTTTTCTTTACTCTTACCATGTAGCTGTTATTTGCTTTACATTTTCCTGGAGTCCACCAACTTATTAACTGGTTTCAAAAGTTCTCATAAAGCCTTTTTAGACATTTATTTTTGTTAAGTGTCTCTGTGGAATTATGAGGTCTTGGGCTTCTTATTCCTCCGTCTCCCTGACATCACCTGCAGACAGCTGTCAATTTTCACTATTGTTAAGATGAGTGAACCCCTGTCCTTCCATATATGTACTCTTTCTACTTAGCTATTTCAGTTTTGCACATACCTGTGAAATCAGGTAACATTTTTATAAAAATGTTATGATTTATTAAAATAAATGACTTATAAAAGCAAAACAGACCTGAGAAATTGAGGATGAAGGATTTGAGTCTAAACTTTTCAGAGACTGACTTAGTATTGGTCCTGGATGCCTTTTTTTTTTTTTTTTTTTTTTTGACCCAAGAGTAACAAAGTCTACCCTCTGAATACATAGAGTATTACTTTTATTTTTATTCACTATTTTATATTTGTTCTGTACTTTTGTAAAACCTAGAGTCTTAAAGCCTTAGTGTTTCCATATAAGCATCATAAGCCATATTCTACGGAAAGCTTCTCTTCTGGTGAAAGAGAACACTTTCTCTTAATGTCTAGCCAAATCTAAAATGCCTCCTGGAAAGTCCATATATTGGTTTCTCAACAGTTATCTTGGGTATAACCAACTTTATCAGTATCCTTGTTAGCCAATCAGCAAATTCACTGAGCGGAAGCTTCCTGCTCTATTTATAAATATGATCAATTCAAATGAAGTAGTCCACTAATAGGTCAGCTTCCAAAGAAAGAACTGACTCTATTTGCAGCCAATAGACAAGTAAAGGCTAGTCATTAGCAGCTGTGGAAAATAAACTGGTGGTCTTGCTGTATAAATGAATGATCATTAATTCACCAACTGAAAGGAAAATTGCACTAATCCATGTCTTATTATGCCAGGAGACCCCGGTATGAATTTTTCTGGGCCTTTCAGACCCGGAACGATTGAGTGCAGGTTGGAAAAGGTAAGAAAACAATCCTTCTACCAAATTTATTCTCCAATATAAAAAAGGTTAAGTCACTTATGGATTCTTAGCAGTGAGATCTTATCTATCTTCCTGAACTTGGAGACCTAGCTTACCTCAAATTATAGAATACTTTGCAGAAGAAAGTTGCATGGGCACAGGCCTCAATCATCAGTCCCCGAGAACGACCCTGCAAATACAGCCAGAAACGATCTTCCTCTGGAATCTCACTATCAAACTGTAGGGATTCAAGGTTCTCTAGCATGTCCATTTTCAAGCCACCATCTCCTGCAGTGACAGATACCAATCAAGATGGCTTCCTACCATGGAAAAACAGGTCTATGCAGGAGAGCTTGTCTTATGGTATGTGTACCTAGGGTAAAGTTCTCATGATAGGCTACAGCACCTCTCTCTCCAATACTGAACCTGGAGTTCATATTGTTAAGTATGGATCCCCCTGAGGATTCTTTATCACTGGCCGCCCATGTATCCTACATTCATGAAAAATTTGAACAGAAACCCAAAGTAATATTGCTTCACATAGGCTACAGGCATTTGTTTTCAGCAAGTGAATATATATTAGCAATGGATTTCAGAGGTGTTCATGGGCAGGATCTTCTCCCTTCCATTCCCTAGGTTTCAGAAATAGGACAGGACACATAGGACCTTATTTCAAGGAAATCCTCCCTTTAACTAAACTTTCTGTGTTCCCCATAGGGTAGAAAAGAACCCAAACTAAATATCACTGGTCCCTTATCTAGGGCAGAGACATCTAGATTTTAGAAAATAAACTTGTAGATGTTTAATTCATCTATATACAACTCTCACCAACCCAACTGAGATGGACTCTGCTCCTCAGTACTTCTGGTCCAGGCAGATAACTAATACATATCTAAGTAGAATTACTTAAGAAAGTTTGTCATTATGACTCCTTAACTACCAGAGTACTTCAGTCTCCTAGTCTTAAAGGGGCCAGCCCCACCTGCAGGTTTTCCTGACCTGAACATGAAGAACCAAGTTCCTTTCACTACTTCTAGGAGTACTAAAACAGATCAGTATAGGACTCTTTTTTTCCCCAACAGAAGAGACTGGATTTCTAGTTGTTTTTTTCCCCCCAGACTTGAGTATTATACAGATCTTAGCGTTACTTGAGTTACTCTTGCAAGCCTGTCTTTTGTTCAAGAAATCACAGATCAATTTTATAGCAATAGTGATACTGAGATGAGGACTTAAAAGCACTCAAGTCTTTAGTACTCTTGTTAAATTTAAAAACAAAAACTTTTGAGGTGAAATTAACATAAAATTAGCCATTTTAAAGTGAATAATTCAGTGGTACATTCAGAATATTGTTCAATTACCTCTATCTAATTCCAAAACGTGTTCATATCCACAAAAGGAAACCCTATTCATATTAAGCAATTTCTGCCCATCTCTCCCCAACCCCAGTCCCTGGAACCATCAAGTTGCTTTCTATGGATTTATTTATTCCAGATATTTCATATTAAATAAAATCATATAATACATGACCTCTTGCATCAGGTTTCTCTAATCTCTCTTTTAGGAAGGTTGCTATGTCACACTCCCAATCTCATTAAAAGCCAATTCCCTGGCACCTGAAGTAAGGAACATGATAGTTATTAAATTTAAGAAAACACTTCCTTACATCGGGGCATTCTAATGTTGCAAGTGATGTTTCTAACTTCAACAGAAAGTGAAGCTCAAAACCTCCCAGAGCAGTATAGTGCACATATGTTCAACAGAACAGATATAATTTCTAGGCCTGTTTTTACTTATACATTCTCAAAAATAGGGATTCATTTGTAGCTTTGTAATGTCAATGTGGCTAGGACTAACTATTTTTTCCAGAATTCTCTTCATTGTTCATATCCACAAAAGGAAACCCTATTCACATTAAGCAATTTCTGCCCATATTTCGGGTTAGAGTGAACCACATGAGCTACTTCTGTCCAAAATCTTAAGGATGGAAATGAAACCCGCAACTAGTTTGTATTTCAGCTTGTAAGGCTGAAAGGCAGGCCATTCCGTAGTCCACACACATTGTTGCTTATCTGCTGGCTACCTTGGTATATGGCAGCAGATGGACCTAAAACTACTAAACCTTTTTCTGGATCCTCCTTCAGCTGCTTATTCCTGGGCGAGGTGTTTTTCAGCTCCATGACAAAGGCCACCAGCTTCTTGTTCAGGATACCCACTCCAAGGTTGGAGGCAGTGAGAAGAGAGATGGGTCCTAGTCTATTCTCATGGTTCTAGCTTGTCCCTGCTCTCCATCACTTTATCTCCATCTTCCCTTCCCAACTGTCTGCCCTGTGAATTTTAAGTTCTACCACCAGACATGACGACAACTGCCTTACATAGACTGTCTATCTAGCTACCATAAGAATAAGGTCAAATCCCTCTAACAAATTAAAATACAGATTAGATAGATAATGTGTATATATACTCCTAATAGTTCTGCTTTTCAATTCTAATGATACACTAGGTAATAAAGTTCCCAACGTTTATCTGAAGATGAACCAATAACTTTAGCACAATCTAGCAAATTAGATTCTTATTTCTTCAACAGCTAGGATCATCAGAAAAGGAACTAAATAATGAAGTTACCTGGAATTGCAAAGATTACAAAAGGGAGGAGCAAAAGACGGAGGCTGTCCCCCTTAAAGCAGGGTTTCTCAACAATGGCATTACTTACATTTGGGGCAAAATAATTCCTTGTTGTGGGGGGCTGTCCTATGCATTAGATGCCAGTAGCACCACCAAGTATGGCAATGAAAAATGTCTTCAGACATTGCCCAATGTTTCCTGAGGGGCAAACTTCCTCCATCGGAGAACCATGTCACCATAAAGCATGCTCTGTGCCTCTGTAGACGCATGGTGTCTTTTCCTCCTACCACTTCTCCCACTCCAAATACAGGAGTACAGAACTCTACAGGGTTACACATTATCATACCCCCACTTCACAGATGAAGATGAGTCCAGAGAGAAATGGATTCACTCAGCACCACATAGCTTGTCAGTGGCAGAGCTGGAAAAGAAGTTAGGTCTTGTGGTCACTCAGCTTAGTGCTTTTTCTGTTACCATACAGCCCTGCTTTGCCATAAGCACCTTTACTCTATAACCTGACATGTGTTCACAGGCAGCTGAATGAAATCACGGACACAGACAAGACACTGAGTAATTATTTCACCATTCAGCATGAAACAACTGGGCAGGGAAGAAAAGGCAGGCACAAAGGACGAAAAAGCTTTATTAGGAGTGTAGGCATGTATGAAAACCCAGGTCAGTCAAACAGGCTGATATTGGTACAGGGCAGAAAACAGCATCACCGAACATTCTGTCAAAAGTCAAGTGTGAAAATAAAACCTCCATTTAAATATCCTCAGAGAAATGCTGCTGAGTTTAGCCTAGGTGAAACTCTCTGGACACTTCTGGGAAGATAATGAGATTTTTGCCTAAAGGGAAAACTCCAGCACTGCTGAATCTGAGCTCTGCATAATGTGGTGGGTCTGGGATAGTAAAAGATAAGGGCGATATCTCATCAAGGTCATCTCAGTATGCCGGTGAGAGAGGAATCCTAAGTTTTGGGGGGAAAAGTAGACTGGGACAGCAGAGGGGTTTTAGCTGAAGAAACACAATATCTTAGCAACATCTGACATAATGAAGAAGGGTTGCACAGCCTGGTTTGAGTGTGTCTTCAGCAGGTCCTGAGCAGTACTGGCCCCACTTCCAGAGGCCCCTGGAATACAGCCAATTTGGTTCTGTTCTCTCTTCCTTCAGAGCAGAACTGCAAACATCCAGCACTAGGTTCTGGACCATAATTAGCTAAGAGGAAATGAAGCAGCTACCCTGTGACACCTATACCTCTTATTCTAGGAGAGTTCCTTTCAAGAATGGTCACTTTTCTTAGACCAAGAGAGATCTTACCCAATATGGACTCCCACCTTCACTTGAGCACCAGGTGGAGAGTATCTTTCTCATAAGTCAAAGAGTTAAACTGTGGCCTTTAGATAACATCCCTTGTACAGAAGATCAGTCTGAAGCTCTCTGTGTCCAGGTGCTGATTTCTGTCCCAAGATTAGTAGGCACTGCCTGTTGAATGATGGGGCCAAGTGATGTGATGCTGTAACTCTCCCAAAGAAGAGGACTCTCTACTTTCACAGGCAGAAAGGAAGAAATGAGGCAGGTTTCAGGGTAGCTAATGCCCTTTAATTCTTCCATCGAATTTGCTGTAGAGAGAGCAAAGAATGAAGGTGTGTGATCAGTTTTCATTTATCCCCACAGGAGGCAGAGATTAGAATGCAAATTACAGGGCTGGGTTGTGGCTCAGTGGTAGAGCGTTTGCCTAGCATGCATGAGGCACTAGCTTCAAGTCTCAGCACCACATAAAAATAAAATAAAGGTATTGTGTAAAAAACAAAAAAAAAAACAAAAACCGAGCTACATCCCTATGGCCCTATTTAAAAATTTAAAAAAAAAAAAAAAAGAATGCAAATTACATTAAAAAAAAAAGGAAGGATTGGATTGGGAATTTTTTTTACTATGTGGGGGAGTTCATTTATTCAGAGATGGATTAAATACCTATTCTGTATTTTATAGAATGCCTGATTTAAGGCATTTATCCTGGTTCTGTCCTCCTCAGAACCAAAATTTACTAGTTTTAACTGACTTTAGCACAGGTATCAAAATATGTAATAGGAAATGAAGTTCCATATTAACAAAAAATTCAGTAATTTCATGCTATGAGAGATAATCAGCTATACTCCCCAAATACTTAAAATCTATTTTACCCACTTCTTATTTCGAATAGGTAGATCATATCCATCCAAGAAGACTGTATAGTCTGAGTATTCAGAATCTGTAACATGTTTTTATAGTTCCAACAGTTCCTGCAATCTGCAAGGTTTAACTATGATGGTCTGATGAGCATCATAGTTAAGACTCAATCTGTCGTTCCCAAACAACCCTTTTATCATCTCATATCTCAGAAGTAATTTTTACTGTTCAAAGCAGTGCTTCTGAAATTTTGGCCCACAATGAGTCTTATATCCACAGGACTCAGCTAAGTGCAATACTGCCCAAGTCTTGGGAACAGTTGACACTACTTTGTGAAGTATCTGTCTCCTAGGACAACTGGAGGGGAAAGTGCAGCTGCTCACCGAGCTGCTGAGAATGGTATCGATCTTCTCTTCCTCTGCGGATCCTTTATCTACCTTGCTCCTGTATGCTAGCAACTGCTGACGATCCTTCAGGTCTCGGCAGGTCTACACAGCAAATCAAACAATACAAACCCCCAATTAGTCTTCTCTATGAAGGACTGCCTCTTTTTGTATCTTATCCAATATGGACTCCCATCTTCACATGAGCACCAGGTGGAGAGTATCTTTCTCATAAGTCAAAGAGTTAAATTGTGGATCCTCAAGGATCCAGGAAAGGCCAAGAGGCTGCAGTGAGATAACAGTTGGGGGATCAAGTACCTACAGTACTTTATATTGGATTGAAGTCTACAGAGTCTAAGTAACTTGAATCAATTCTGAGTTCTCCAAATGCAACAAATTATAAAAGCACAGAGAAACCTGTTAGAAGGCTGATCTCCAACTAACGCTTGCCAGACTATTTTCTCCTTTAAGTCCAATCTGATAAAAGCATCTCAGGATCTAGGACAAAGAAAATTATAATCCCCCAATCTTCACCAAGGATCAAATTTGGGGTTTTCATTTCTTAGGACTCACATCAATGACGACATCATGGCACTTGAACTTAGTAGCTAAGTTTAATTTTGTGTCCACATCTTCTACCAAATTGACATACTCCTGTAATATCTGTGGGAAGAGATACTTCTGATTA